TCATACTACAGTAGTTAGGGGTTTAGCCAGGAGTGAGTGAGTGTTGTTGTTGATGTCATATGTGTCTCATACTACAGTAGTTAGGGGTTTAGCCAGGAGTGAGTGAGTGTTGTTGTTGATGTCATATGTGTCTCATACTACAGTAGTTAGGGGTTTAGCCAGGAGTGAGCTAGTGTTGTTGTTGATGTCACACGTGTCTTATACTAGAGTAGTTAGGGTTTAGCCAGGAGTGAGCTAGTGTTGTTGTTGATGTCACATGTGTCTTATACTAGAGTAGTTAGGGGTTTAGCCAGGAGTGAGCTAGTGTTGTTGTTGATGTCACATGTTTCTCATACCAGAGTAGTTAGGGGTTTAGCCAGGAGTGAGCTAGTGTTGTTGTTGATGTCACATGTTTTGCTATGAGTGAGTGAGTGTTGTTCTTGATGTCACATGTGTCTTATACTAGAGTAGTTAGGGGTTTAGCCTGGAGTGAGCTAGTGTTGTTGTTGATGTCACATGTGTCTTATACTAGAGTAGTTAGGGGTTTAGCCAGGAGTGAGCTAGTGTTGTTGTTGATGTCACATGTGTCTCATACCAGAGTAGTTAGGGGTTTAGCCAGGAGTGAGCTAGTGTTGTTGTTGATGTCACATGTGTCTTATACTAGAGTAGTTAGGGGTTTAGCCAGGAGTGAGCTAGTGTTGTTGTTGATGTCACATGTGTCTCATACCAGAGTAGTTAGGGGTTTAGCCAGGAGTGAACTAGTGTTGTTGTTGATGTCACATGTGTCTTATACTAGAGTAGTTAGGGGTTTAGCCAGGAGTGAGCTAGTGTTGTTGTTGATGTCACATGTGTCTCATACCAGAGTAGTTAGGGGTTTAGCCAGGAGTGAGCTAGTGTTGTTGTTGATGTCACATGTTTTGCTATGAGTGAGTGAGTGTTGTTGTTGATGTCACATGTGTCTTATACTAGAGTAGTTAGGGGTTTAGCCAGGAGTGAGCTAGTGTTGTTGTTGATGTCTTTTGTGTCTCATACCAGAGTAGTTAGGGGTTTAGCCAGGAGTGAGCTAGTGTTGTTGTTGATGTCACATGTTTTGCTATGAGTGAGTGAGTGTTGTTCTTGATGTCACATGTGTCTTATACTAGAGTAGTTAGGGGTTTAGCCAGGAGTGAGTGAGTGTTGTTGTTGATGGCATATGTGTCTCATACTACAGTAGTTAGGGGTTTAGCCAGGAGTGAGTGAGTGTTGTTGTTGATGTCATATGTGTCTCATACTACAGTAGTTAGGGGTTTAGCCAGGAGTGAGTGAGTGTTGTTGTTGATGTCATATGTGTCTCATACTACAGTAGTTAGGGGTTTAGCCAGGAGTGAGCTAGTGTTGTTGTTGATGTCACACGTGTCTTATACTAGAGTAGTTAGGGTTTAGCCAGGAGTGAGCTAGTGTTGTTGTTGATGTCACATGTGTCTTATACTAGAGTAGTTAGGGGTTTAGCCAGGAGTGAGCTAGTGTTGTTGTTGATGTCACATGTTTCTCATACCAGAGTAGTTAGGGGTTTAGCCAGGAGTGAGCTAGTGTTGTTGTTGATGTCACATGTTTTGCTATGAGTGAGTGAGTGTTGTTCTTGATGTCACATGTGTCTTATACTAGAGTAGTTAGGGGTTTAGCCAGGAGTGAGCTAGTGTTGTTGTTGATGTCACGTGTGTCTTATACTAGAGTAGTTAGGGGTTTAGCCAGGAGTGAGCTAGTGTTGTTGTTGATGTCACATGTGTCTCATACCAGAGTAGTTAGGGGTTTAGCCAGGAGTGAGCTAGTGTTGTTGTTGATGTCACATGTGTCTTATACTAGAGTAGTTAGGGGTTTAGCCAGGAGTGAGCTAGTGTTGTTGTTGATGTCACATGTGTCTCATACCAGAGTAGTTAGGGGTTTAGCCAGGAGTGAGCTAGTGTTGTTGTTGATGTTACATGTGTCTTATACTAGAGTAGTTAGGGGTTTAGCCAGGAGTGAGCTAGTGTTGTTGTTGATGTCACATGTGTCTCATACCAGAGTAGTTAGGGGTTTAGCCAGGAGTGAGCTAGTGTTGTTGTTGATGTCACATGTTTTGCTATGAGTGAGTGAGTGTTGTTCTTGATGTCACATGTGTCTTATACTAGAGTAGTTAGGGGTTTAGCCAGGAGTGAGTGAGTGTTGTTGTTGATGGCATATGTGTCTCATACTACAGTAGTTAGGGGTTTAGCCAGGAGTGAGTGAGTGTTGTTGTTGATGTCATATGTGTCTCATACTACAGTAGTTAGGGGTTTAGCCAGGAGTGAGTGAGTGTTGTTGTTGATGTCATATGTGTCTAAACTACAGTAGTTAGGGGTTTAGCCAGGAGTGAGTGAGTGTTGTTGTTGATGTCATTTGTGTCTCATACTACAGTAGTTAGGGGTGTAGCCAGGAGTGAGTGAGTGAGTGTTGTTGTTGATGTCACATGTGTCTTATACTAGAGTAGTTAGGGATTTAGCCAGGAGTGAGCTAGTGTTGTTGTTGATGTCATATGTGTCTCATACTACAATAGTTAGGGGTGTAGCCAGGAGTGAGTGAGTGAGTGTTGTTGTTGATGTCACATGTGTCTTATACTAGGGTAGGTAGGGGTTTAGCCATGAGTGAGTGAGTGAGTGCTGTTGTTGATGTCACATGTTTAGCCATGAGTGAGTGAGTGTTGTTGTTGTTGATGCCATATGTGTCTTATACTAGAGTAGTTAGGGGTGTAGTGGGTAGTAAGTGAGTTTGAGTTGTTGTTGATGTCAAATGTGTCTCGAATTGCAGTAGTTAGGGGTTTAGCGGGGAGTAAGTGAGTTTAAGCTGTTGTTGATGTCAAATGTGTCTAGTTGGGGTTTAGCCAGTAGAAAGTGAGCTTAAGTTGTTGTTGATGTCAAATGTGTCTCGAACTACAGTAGTTAGGGGTAGCTCAACAGCAATTGTCCTGTTTTATTCTCAACAAACCGAATCTTAATGTTTGGCAAGTCAAAGGAAAAGTGCCAACATCCTGTACCGAGTTTCGTACAGGTCACTCTGACATCGGCTAAACTTAATGTGAAGTCATCTGGCCGTAATCCATACTCTCTTGAAACATCTGATGCCCATTAATGTTTCCATTAATAACTAATATGCAATTAACTAAATCTTGGTGTCCCAAAGTTCAAACGGGTCAGGCTGACATGCAGAGTACTGACGTCGATTATACATGTATGTCTCGTCTAACAGGTGTGTTAGTGTGGCGCTACAATGCCATGCTCCTTACAGCACAGATAGAGTTTCTTATTCTCTATACCTCCAACATGGGGCGACTAAATGCGACAGCAGTCGACTATTGATGTGTAGAGTAAGACATGACCTTTTTATTACAGCATTCTGTATAAAGAGGATTAAAAGCACAAACAGCCTCCACATACTGACTTTGTCTCAGTGAAGCTCTTAAGGCTCAAATGCAGAGCCTCAGTCTCTGATGATGCATAGAATCTAGTTTTCTTTAAACTCACGTTTACAACCTCCACCATATACGATTGAGATGTAATCCAGTTTAGAGCGCTCTACAGTTGGGGGAGTGTTTTCTGATCTCCTCCCCGCTTTGAATCCCAAACGACTTTCAATGGAGCAAGTGGCTTCAGGCATTTATTTTTATTTATTTATTTTAGTAATAAATGTGTGGCAGAAAGGTCTTATTTTTGTTTCACCTTTTTCTTTTTTCTTTTTTTGGTAGCTTTGACATCATTAGGAAAGAAACTTACCTGAAGTCCATATGTCATCAAAAATAACGAAAAGGGATTCTAAAAATGGGTCTGGTAAATGCTTCAGGAGTTGATAATTAGTTGATAATATCAGTGTCTTTATAGTATGTTTCTTGAAAACATACTGCACCTGGTTTGAAATTTTGAATGAAGAATTGTAAGTCATTATATTTATTCCTAAGTACTCTACAGTTCCATTGTATTATATTTGATGCTTGAGCCTTGACGGCTCAAATGGTAATCTCTCATTTGAACATGAGCACCAGAGCGGTTGAGGAGACATAATCTCCGAGGATGAGAGGGCATCGGGTGTTTGATGGACATTTAATTTTTATTTCACCTTTTTCTTTCTTTTTTGATAAGTTTTGTTCTGCATTTGCTGGTTCGACATGAATTGTCTCAGTATCAGCCTGAAAGGGAGAATATGTCGATTCGGATTGATTGTCAGCGTGACAGACGAAGCTACAACAGGTTGATCAGACTTGACCCATGTCAACTCAGTCCGACACAGAACAGATAAGGAAGTTGTGGCAGATTTGGCTACAGCAGAAGAAGAATTTAGAATAAAAGTAAGCTGCCTGGCGACGGCAAAGCTGATGTTTCGTTCTTGTTTAGTTTAAGAACTTTGATTTCTGTTTGATAAAGAGGGCAGAACTTGGAAGTGGCCATGTGTTGCCCATCACAGTTTGAACATGTCAAATCTTGAGGACAATCTGCACTTTTATTGTTGTCACCATAACGATGACAAACCATGGGATGTGTGCAGGTTTTTGAAACCATGTCCACTTTTTTCACATTTAAATCATCGGAGTGTACAGGGGACATACATCTTCACTCCGATGTTGACATAACCAGCTTTAATTGAATTGGGAACCGGTCAACGGGCAAGTGAATAAATATGTGTTCGTTTGAACAGTAGTAGATTTATTATCCTTTCTGGTAAAACGTTTGACAGACTAAACTTGATTTTTGTCCCGGCACATTTCACCTGAAGAGCTCCACTGCGCAAACGTGTCACATTTTAACCTCCCCACAATGGCCATGAACAGATCTGGATATACCAATTTGATTGGTTCATGATCTGTAACTTCGATCACAAGGAATCAACATATGTATTAGCCTTATCAAACGAACTTGTATCCAAATGTCTTCGTTTAGAAACAGAATGATTGTTAGCCATGGTGAAACAGGGAGGGGGATTTTTGGGGGTGGGGGATTGGAGGAGTAAGGTATATGTGAGACTGCATGTGGCATAGAGACCTGGGTGTCTGCTACGGGTGATCAAAGGTATATGTTGTACATTGGACATATAGACCTGGTTGTCTGCTACGGGTGATCAAAGGTATATGTTGTACATTGGACATATAGACCTTGGTGTCGGTGATGGGTAATAAGTAAGTTCCACAGCGTTAGACAAAGAGAAGTAATTTACGCACATTATTAATGTTAAGGGGTTGGATCGAGATTAGTTAAAGTGAACAAGAAATCTAATATTTTTCAAGTTACTTCAAAAGTAATAATACTCTCAACACGAGGCTATTGTGGCAACATACTTGGTTTGTAACACAATACCCTGATGAAGGTACCTGCCTTATTTGTGTCTGTGGTGCCACATGTACGCACAGGAATTCCTGAGTTGGCTTTTTGTCAAACACTTCGGACTAAGCTCCATGTTGATCCAGCATCAAGTCAGTCTTCTCGTAACTGCGACGAGCTGCAAATATCTCTGCATGATGGAACTAACAAGAGTTGTATTCATCAGTCTTGTGTTCTTGTGTGGTGTCAGAGACGCACATGCTGACACCAATTTGACCGACTTGACTGGACAAGTGAGAGTCCTGACCGCAAGTATCCAAGCATGGAAAGGAAGAGTTGTTAATATTAAGACTGATATGAAAGGCCACTTTAGGAGGTGGGAGTCATCACTGAAAAATCAACTGACTGACACATTCATTCCTGCCCTGATAAAGCCTCTAGTGGAGCAAGCGATTACCGGCATCCTGAAAGAGTATAACATTAGGAATATTATGAGAGGACGTATTCTTGGTGTAGTTAATAGACTGAGAGTCAGTGTTCATTACACAAAAACACAACTTCGGACAGTAACACAACAGTTCAGACGTGTAGAAAGGGAAAGAGACAGTTACAAAGAAAGTATGTTTAAGCTTCGTAGCGAGGTGAACACAGACATCCACAGTTTACAGCTGCAGCTGAATGAGACGAAAGCTGGTCTTCGTGATGCAAACATGGTGAACAGTGTTCTTCAGGAAGATTTAATTACACTGAATACAAGCTGTGTGAAGAGAGAAGAGATAGAAGCGCACACCCATGATGAACAGTCATACAGGAAGGGATTGCAGGAAATGCAGCAAAAGTTAAAAACTGACATTCAGAGTTTAAACATTCAACAAAATCAGACCATTGATGACCTACATGATTCAAATCAAGTAATCACTGGTCTTACAGAGGACATGGTGATACTAAATACAAGCTGTGTGAAGAGAGAAGATATAGAAGCGCACACCCATGATGAACAGTCATACAGGAAGGAATTGCAGGAAATGCAGCAAAAGTTAAAAACTGACATTCAGAGTTTAAACATTCAACAAAATCAGACCATTGATGACCTACATGATTCAAATCAAGTAATCACTGGTCTTACAGAGGACATGGTGACACTGAATACAAGCTGTGTGAAGAGAGAAGAGATAGAAGCGCACACCCATGATGAACAGTCATACAGGAAGGAATTGCAGGAAATGCAGCAAAAGTTAAAAACTGACATTCAGAGTTTAAACATTCAACAAAATCAGACCATTGATGACCTACATGCTTCAAATCAAGTAATAACTGGTCTTACAGAGGACATGGTGACACTGAATACAAGCTGTGTGAAGAGAGAAGATATTAAAGAGGTCGATGTTACGGACAGGTCGCTGACTACATCGTCGTTGTCGCAGGTGTCATTCAGCACATCGCCCCCTTCGTTTCCTGGTGCTGCAGGAGGTGAGACTTTTAGCAGAGATTTCTCTCTAAACATTCCACGCGAAAGATGCATGAAATATCTTATTTCCTTTGAAAAAAGCATTAGTGTATGTCTTCAAACATGAATTTCAAACAATATATATATATATATGCATACATACATACATCACATAAAGTTATGACAGATATCACATGATTCATAATACTCATCTCTGTGCTACATATTACTGAAACTGCACCAATGCACTCATATGTACACGATGTATAGTATACATATAAACATGCAGTTCACAAATACAGGCATGTAGCTTATACTAGGACTAGAATGTTTAATATGTCTACCGAATGTGTGGCACTCAGGTGACAGTAGGCATAATCTACTGTTACTGCTTGTCACTGCAGATCCTGCTGTAAGTGATCAAATACACGCCACTTACATAGTTTAGTATACATATCATACAATTATATACACAGTAATAGTGCCATATCATTTTATTCTAAACATAATCTCAAATGGAATAGCATAGATAAACCTACATAAATATGCCCTTATCTGAGCCATACTAGCATTACCTGTGCTGTGATATACTCTTAATTACAAACACACATGATCATGTAGGTATAATCATTACTGTACTTATACTAATGACTTTAACTACATTCATACACTCAAATCACACAATTATAACCTACACTGAACTAATGTTTACACTATACATGCTGTACTAAAACAAATATTATATCCTACATATTGTTTATAACTACGTATTAACACACACACACACACGCACGCACGCGCGCCCGCGCGCACACACACATATATGTTGTCATACTGTTTCATGCGAAAGAAAGTCATTATTCATTCGTTGGAAAGATGTCATCGCGTCAATGTTGCAAACAAAGGTAGCACGTTCGGATAGCATCATCTTCCCGAGGCATGATCGTCCACAAGTCAATTTATTAAAGTCTAGTTTCCAGCCCGATGAACTTTTGATCTTGACCTAGGGCGGCCTGTGCGGGGTCAATCCTTGACTTTTCTGCAGAACATATTGAACATATTGTCTACCCACGACTGACTTCCGCCAGTTTCCGGAATGACAATAACTCTCAGGCGTTCATTACATTGTAGACCGCCTCCGTGGTCTAGTGGTAGAACGTCCGCCCGGAGAGCGGAAGGTCCGGGGCTCGATCCCCGGCCGCGTCATACTAAAAGACGTTTAAAGATGGTACTTGTTGTTTCCCTGTCTGGTGCTCGGCATTAAGGGGTTAAAACAAGGACTGGTCGGCTCACAGTCAGTATACTGTGTCTGAGTGGGGTATTCTTGGTATCTCAGTGAGCTAGCACTATAACTCGGCATCAGTCCGGACTATTACAAGCAGACACACACACGCGCACACACACACACACACACACACACACACGTCGCTATGTAAGTGCAATAATCTTGGACGCGGCGTTAAACACAATTTCACCTCACCTCATAACATTGCAGAGGACGCATTCCTACTCTGATCATAAATATTGCAGTGCAGCAAGCGTAGAGAGCTTACCAGCTCACGTGCACGGAGGAATGCTTGTGTGCAAGGTTTCGTGTGTGTTGATGCGTTAGGGTTTGGTTTTGAAGCCGTTTAGCATCTGTCTCTGGCAGTCTTGTTTTCAAAGCTGATCGTCCTTCTGATCATAATATCAAAAGACGGGATACCCAATACCCAGGTACATAGGTTAACGTCGGTATGAATACTCCCACCAATATTCATTACAATATAGAAAAGAGCGCATGACTCCGATAAAAACTAGAAAAGGTGCACGTCTCTTAAATAAGTTTTTAGTAATACGACATTTACACTGGGTGAAAATATACAGGAGCGTTCTACTAGGCTAACTATACTACTCAAAAGCAGTTAGGGAACACTGATATGTTTGCACTTAAAATAGAAAAAGGAACAGAAGACTGAGTAGTAAATTCAATAATGACCGAGTATACAGTAAGAAAGAATCATGAACAATCCATTACATTTCATAACGTGAGTGTCAGTGTCAGAGTTGGATTTAACGCTGCTTTTAACAGTATTCCAGTTACATCACGGCGTGTCAGCTTAATGTTGGAGGAAAGCCCGAAGTGATGCAGGTCTCAGACGTTTACCGCTTCGGTGAAACCCACGAGCACGGGTATGGTGCTGACAAACCTAGAAACATAATCGGGGCGAACCGGGATTCGAACACACAAACATAGGTTTCTGGCGTGCCCAAGGGACGCAAATCTGCACAGCCTTAGACGACTGGGCCACCCGTGCCCCCGAAAGAATCATGAACAACCCACTACATTTCATAACGTGGAAATCCAGGCCATGAGAGAAAAGTCAGTGACGAGTGTGTCCGCCCCTAGCAGCCACACATGCAACACAACGACGCCTCATGGATGTCACTAATGTCTGTAGTGTGTTCTGTGGGATAGCAGGCCACTCAGCCATTGAGCAAGCTGGCGCAGATCTTGAGGTGGAGGGTGGCTCTCTCTAACACGTCTCGTTAACAGATCCCTTACGTGCTCAATGGGTGCCATATCAGGATAATATGCTGGCCATTCCATGCAAGTAACATTGTTTTGTCCCAGAAAGTCAGGGACTACGCGTGCACGATGAGGTCTAGCATTGTCATCCTGGAAAACCGTCTGTGTGCCTATTCGATGAAGACAAGGGATCATCATTGGTCTCAGAATCTCATCCCTGTAGAGAACAGCATTCAAATTCCCGTTGATGACGTACAGATTGGTTCTGTGATGAAATGAGAAGGCGGCCCACAACATGACACTACTGGTGTATCATGTCTACTGTACAGTGTTAGATGTGTTAATGACGCTTCCTGACGCCATTAGAAACACGGGGCTGGTGTATCATGTCTACTGTACAGTGTTAGATGTGTTAATGACGCTTCCTGACGCCACTAGAAACACGGGGATGGTGTATCATGTCTACTGTACAGTGTTAGATGTGTTAATGACGCTTCCTGACGCCACTAGAAACACGGGGCTGGTGTATCATGTCTACTGTACAGTGTTAGAAGTGTTAATGACGCTTCCTGACGCCATTAGAAACACGGGGCTGGTGTATCATGTCTACTGTACAGTGTTAGAAGTGTTAATGACGCTTCCTGACGCCATTAGAAACACAGGGCTGGTGTATCATGTCTACTGTACAGTGTTAGATGTGTTAATGACGCTTCCTGACGCCATTAGAAACACGGGGCTGGTGTATCATGTCTACTGTACAGTGTTAGATGTGTTAATGACGCTTCCTGACGCCATTAGAAACACAGGACTGGTGTATCATGTCTACTGTACAGTGTTAGATGTGTTAATGACGCTTCCTGACGCCATTAGAAACACGGGGCTGGTGTATCATGTCTACTGTACAGTGTTAGATGTGTTAATGACGCTTCCTGACGCCATTAGAAACACGGGGCTGGTGTATCATGTCTACTGTACAGTGTTAGAAGTGTTAATGACGCTTCCTGACGCCATTAGAAACACGGGGCTGGTGTATCATGTCTACTGTACAGTGTTAGATGTGTTAATGACGCTTCCTGACGCCATTAGAAACACGGGGCTGGTGTATCATGTCTACTGTACAGTGTTAGATGTGTTAATGACGCTTCCTGACGCCATTAGAAACACGGGGCTGGTGTATCATGTCTACTGTACAGTGTTAGATGTGTTAATGACGCTTCCTGACGCCATTAGAAACACGGGGCTGGTGTATCATGTCTACTGTACAGTGTTAGAAGTGTTAATGACGCTTCCTGACGCCATTAGAAACACGGGGCTGGTGTATCATGTCTACTGTACAGTGTTAGATGTGTTAATGACGCTTCCTGACGCCATTAGAAACACGGGGCTGGTGTATCATGTCTACTGTACAGTGTTAGATGTGTTAATGACGCTTCCTGACGCCATTAGAAACACGGGGCTGGTGTATCATGTCTACTGTACAGTGTTAGATGTGTTAATGATGCTTCCTGACGCCATTAGAAACACGGGGCTGGTGTATCATGTCTACTGTACAGTGTTAGAAGTGTTAATCACGCTTCCTGACGCCATTAGAAACACGGGGCTGGTGTATCATGTCTACTGTACAGTGTTAGATGTGTTAATGACGCTTCCTGACGCCATTAGAAACACGGGGCTGGTGTATCATGTCTACTGTACAGTGTTAGAAGTGTTAATGACGCTTCCTGACGCCATTAGAAACACGGGGCTGGTGTATCATGTCTACTGTACAGTGTTAGATGTGTTAATGACGCTTCCTGACGCCATTAGAAACACGGGGCTGGTGTATCATGTCTACTGTACAGTGTTAGATGTGTTAATGACGCTTCCTGACGCCATTAGAAACACGGGGCTGGTGTATCATGTCTACTGTACAGTGTTAGAAGTGTTAATGACGCTTCCTGACGCCATTAGAAACACGGGGCTGGTGTATCATGTCTACTGTACAGTGTTAGATGTGTTAATGACGCTTCCTGACGCCATTAGAAACACGGGGCTGGTGTATCATGTCTACTGTACAGTGTTAGATGTGTTAATGACGCTTCCTGACGCCATTAGAAACACGGGGCTGGTGTATCATGTCTACTGTACAGTGTTAGAAGTGTTAATGACGCTTCCTGACGCCATTAGAAACACGGGGCTGGTGTATCATGTCTACTGTACAGTGTTAGAAGTGTTTCTAATGGCGACGGGAAGAGTCATTAACACTTCTAACACTGTACAGTAGACATGATACACCAGCCCCGTGCTTCTAATGGCGGCGGGAAGTGTCTTTAACACTTCTTACACTGTACAGTAGACATGATACACCAGCCCAGTGTTTTTAATGGCGGCGGGAAGTGTCATTAACACTTCTTACACTGTACAGTAGACATGATACACCAGCCCTGTGTTTCTAATGGCAGCGGGAAGTGTTATTAACACTTCTAACACTGTACAGTAGACATGATACACCAGTCCTGTGTTGGCAATGGCTGC